TCTTCTTTCTTCATTTAAGTCAGTGTCCATTACAAAATTTAAGTTTCTGTGCCTTTTTTTAATAATTCATTTAACTTCCTGTACGTTGAAGACTCTGTACCTCCTTCAGTATCATTATTTCACTACAGGCTGGTGTTATTATCCATGCTATTTTCATTTTTCATTTTACGATCGTTACTCTCAATGAATTCTTTGATTTCTCCTACTTCCATATCTGAAAATCCGTCGCCGGCTGTTGCTTTCGCAATTCGTGCAATTTCTATGGTTTCATTTTCTAATGATGGAAATCTTTAAAATTGTTGTTAACTTCTGGTCAGAACTGAAGCACGCATTCATTGCTGATAAATTCACTTGTTTCCATGCGAGTTCAATCATTTTTATGCAGTGTTTATGCTGAATTGCTTCCAAAGTGCCATTAGTGCTTTTCTTCGTCTATTGCTTTATTTGAAGGGATATAAACATGTCTGACATAAAAGGTTTTGAATGTTTTTATGGTTTCTCAATCCATTGGTTGGACTAAGGAGCTGGTGTTCTGTGTAGAGGGAATAAAACTTTACCATTTGAATACAGTGTTATGATTTGGCTTATTTGATAAAGTTAAAACACTCGAAGGCTATATGCCTAATGGGAGAAACGCCTTCGTGGAAGACTTTCTAAGAGTAACTGGCTCGTGTACGAATTATACATGGGGAAAACCACGAAAACACCCACGCCAGCAGATTCTAACCTCAGACCGAACTACCAGTGTTCAGCGACTTTTACCGCTCCGCCGCTGGTGGGAAAATATAGTATTGTAAAGGCTTAAATATCGTGTTCTGTAGCATTATGACATTTATAAACTTGTGCTGAAGCTATAAGACCAATCCTAGACATTGTTAAAAAAAAAACAAGCAATTTCGAAATTAAAGATTAACTTCTGATGAAATTCTTAATTCAACAGGAGTTTATTTATGCGGTCCATTCTTAATCAAAAATAAATACCAGAAAAAAGGCCTTGAATAAAACATCTTCAAAGAGAAAATCATATATTTTAAATAAATCATTAAATACATGCAATGGTTTGAGAATTGTAATTTTAGGTACAATATATCTCTGGATATCTTTCCATCTGACGCAACGTTAATCATGATGTTAATTAATTTTTTGGATTTCAACTTTACAACAATGCCATAATTACTTAAAACGTGTGTTCTCAAAATTTGTCACGAAACATTACCAATAATAAAATTCGATTGAAAAATTAGACCTATGTCTCAATTTATTAGACTTTTCCAACAGACATCGATTTTTGTACCGTTTGCTGCAACTAAATTGAGCAAAGATATTGGTTTAAAACAGCCTTGTGGAGTAGGACCTAAGACGAACAAATCAGCTCCTATGTATACCAAAAAGTGTTTTCTTAACACTTTTTCGTATACAAGGAGGAGACAATTATTTTGGCCTATGGTATTCGTCGTCATACACGCTTGGAATTTTAGCTTTCCCTTTTAAAATTGCAATAGTTGTTGCTTTTAACCGAATTTTCACCATGAGTGGCGTGGTACCAACACATGGATACTTTTTTGTTTTGCTTATTCGTGGGCAAGAATCTAGATCTAGAATTCGAGCGACCATATAAATACAAAGATAAAATTTATCTACTTTTTTATTTAAATCAGATATTTGTTTCTGCAAATTATTTAAAACATCGCTTATAACAGTATAATTAGTTACTTCCGATTTGACTTCTATGGCATAAAGCTGAGTTGTGATGTCTGAGATTTGTCAGCCATAGCTGCTGACTTTTTGAGTTTGATATCAGAAGAGGTTCGTATGGCTTGGATCTTGGGTGCAAGTCGTTGAAGCCACGAGGATTTTAATAATTCAGTTCCGATAAGAGGTTCAGCTAATTCTTGTATTTATCGGAGTAAAACAGATGGACATCTGTAGCCTAAATAGATATCTCTCAAATATTTTTGTAATTTTTGTTCTTCAGAGTCGGAAAAAACTTCAATTAATGTTTTTAAGAGTGTCATATGCATCAAAAACTGGAGAAGTATCAAATACTTCACTTTCCTGACCTAAGATGTCGGTCTTAATGTCAACTACCGCAATATCATATTTCGTGGCATCTGCAGTTATCTCACTGTTAGTGAACTGCCTTTCAGTTTGTCGAAACCATATTCCTGCGTTATCTTTCCAGAAAAGTAGCACTTTAACGGAATTTCTGTTGATTTCAGTTGCTTGCGCTTGAAACAATAGTATCATCATGTTCCAACTATTAAAAACATGTTCGTCTTATATCCGGAGTCGCGAGTTTGGGCTTTTAGAGAAGATTATTAAACACTTATTTCTAAAGAATAAATTCTTTTAATAAATCAAAATACATACATAGCGTTAGAATAACATTAATATCTATGACGGAGAGAGGGTGAAAACCAAATTGTAAAACAGAAGGGAAGAGTTTGTAGAGTCCAGATGGGTGAACTTCTATCTGAAATTGGAGTAGCAGGGAACTACACAAGAGAAGAATTAAAATATTCTTTATTAAATCTTTTGAAAATTTACAATGCGTCAACTCGACGCTAACAAACTTCGCCTCTGCTTAGGCGGTAACTGAAAATCACGTAATTAAACTAAAATTTGAAGATATTAACAAACGATAGACCTAGACTACAGGACTCAGCGAGGTCCTGTAACTTAAACCACCTCCCAAGCTAGTGGCAGCAGATCAATGCAATTAAGCCACTTGAACCAGTAATAAGCAAGCGTACCTACGGCAGAGACAGCGGCTAGAGTCTAACTCTCTCTCTTCTACCGAAACTCGGTTTTTTACTACTTCCTTCAAAGTAGAAAATTAGCGTTCGTTCACGCGCGCTACATCATTCACCTATTCTGGCACTGACAATTAGGGGAATAAAGGCTTATAGGAAAGTTTAAAATAAAACTTTAAATTATTAGTTAAAATAAATATAAATCTCTACAAGTTCTTTTTGAGAATCCCGCGGAGGAAATGGGCCTATTCGCCGTGGCCGTTTCGACGTTGAGACGTTTCGTAGTCAATACATATTTTTCTTTACGTGACTATATTATATCTTGACGTATTATATTAAGTTGATTTATTTTTTGCCATATTATATTATTGAGTTTATTTAATTTAATAATTATGTTTACCTATTGTATACCTCTGGTGTCTTAAATTTTAAAAGAAAAAACCTTTTGCATTTTCTTGCAAGTACTTTAAACAAATCGCATGAAACAACTTTCTAAATTTTTGCGAGTTCTTAGCGCTCATGCGTTAGAGGGAGAAATCAGTGTCAATGTTGAAGAAATGCAAGGGGAGGAAGTAAAAACCCTGCACATGCTGTCCATTGAAAATGTAACCTTAAGTGTAAAATTAATGTAATGTATCAGAAGAAATATATTGAACATTTTAAAATTAAACCTGAAATCACTAGCACACAATTTTAACCTGAAAAATAATATTAAATTCCAACGAGACAATAATCTAAGTATTCATCTATGGATGTCTGAATTTGATTTCATTCAATTTGGTTGCATGATGTTTTCCTCTGAAAACAAAATGATCAGTACACTTCTTCGGGGCCTAGATTCCTGTCGATCATATTTCGTTAGTAATCTGATATAAAGTTGGGAAATAAAGTATTCCTTTAAAACAAAAGTTGAAATGAAGCATGTAGGATGAGTGAAGAGTAATTAAGCCATAGTTAATTATATAAAACAGTTAAATCCACTGTAAATTCATCTAAGATATGAATTTACAATGTAATGAATGTAATGAATAAGTAAATGAAACGTTTTCTTAATTTTCATTTTCATCCTCACTATTTACAGTACACGTAAATGTTTTGGTGTTATTTCTGGAAACAGTAAGTATTCTATAACAACTGTCAGACACTGCATGTCCTAATTTAAACTATCGCTACCATGAAAAACTTAAACTTGTTTTTGACTACCATACTAAGAATGACTTAAGCAGTGTAATTTAGCAATCTTTGTACCATGTATATAATATTAACTTAATAACAGCCCCATTAGTTTAATGTTTATTTTAGTGGTATATGTTTAATTCTTTTGTTCTTACCAGTATATGGTATTGTGTTTTCTATAGAGTAATATATAGAACAACTAACTATACATACTATAACTTTTAGTGCATAACTGTAGATTCTTCGCAATTAAATCTACGGATCTATATACATCCGTAGAACAAAAACAAAAACAAAAAAACAAAAAAAAAAAAAAAAAAAAAAAAATCATTTGCAGACTCATTTTCTAAGTTTCAAGGATAAATCTGTCTTGGATAGATATAAAATGATAATTTTCTATTAAGTTCAGTTCTTGAAAATTGTCGCTTCAACCAGAGCTGATAATTATCCCATATGCTTTAATGAAAGTTTTTCCAAAACGTCTATACTGGACCTACAACATTTACCATCCCTTTTTCAGGTACGTTATATCCATTATTTTTTAATCAATAGTTTGTTTCTATTAACATTTTTGTTTTAAACTACCAGGACTGGATAAATAAATATTTTTTTATTTAACTTTTTTTCATTTTATTAATGCTCACCAGCGGCCGAGCGGTAAAGTCGCTGAACACTGGTAGTTCGGTCCGAGGTTCGAATCCCGCGAACGGGCTGGCTGCATGGGTGTTTTCGTGGTTTTCCCCATGTGTAACGTGTATACGAGCCAGTTTCCCTAAGAAAGTCCTCCACGAAGGCATCCCTCCCCTTAGGCAGATAGCCCTAGTGTGCTTTGCCATAATTAAATAAACCAAACCAAAACCATTTTATTAATAATTTAAAAGCAATAGCTCACCAAGTTGTTAAGAAACATCTATAAATATTCGTGTGATGTATTTATTAAATTAATTATAATTTCTGTGATATAACATTAAATTGAGTATTCAACATAACTGTTAACGCCGAAGTTATAGTAACTAACTAACAAGTTGTCGACTTTCAACTATTTATTTGTAAACACAAGCACAAACTAACTTACATTCAAATAAATATTTATTTATCTATCTCTTTTGGTCTACAACTAAACTGATAAATGTAAACAGATATTGACGTAACAAGATGAAGCGACATCTTCTGGCCGTTAAAATTCACATAATTCTTACAAATTAAAAACTAGACACATCTTATTTTATGTTGTATTTATTTATTTATACAAGTCAGAAGTAAACAGGCGATCATTTTTTAAACTTAAAATTTTACCTTCAGCTGTTTGTTACGTGGCGTTCCATAAATATAGCAACATAGGAAGAAATTTCATTTCCATTTCATTCCATTTGAACCCACTAATGGCTGAGTAAATAAGACACCTGAACATTGCTAATTTGACTCAGATTCAAAACCTGGTTAATTGAATAGATATTTTCGTGATTCTTCTAGTGTGTAACGTGAATTCGAAGCTGTGTCGTTTAGTCTTCAGGAAAGTTCACGAAGTCTGCCTTCTCTTAGGCAGATAACCTGCATGAGAAGATCGTTTCTCGTAGAGCCAAATAAAAGATATGTTTTTTTGGTCCAAAGAACAGGCAGGGTTAATCCTAGCGGGGCGCAAGATGGTGCAAAGCACGTGGGCAGCCAAATAATTATCAAATAATATATCATATTTCTGTAAAAGAGGGGGGGCAATTTTAATTTGCACATGGTCAGGTTTAGGATCGGCACTGGGAATAGAATGCTTAGCATTGCTATAGCCAAATTATCCATTCCATTTAGTACATTGGTTAAATCCGTGAAGGAATACTACATGATCCACATGAACCCACACCTAAAAGCACATGAATTTTTAACAAAAATTTTTGTTTATGCAGAGGAGATTACTGGTCTACAGATCATGGTACAAACGATTTGGTAGGCATATCGTCACTTTGACGTAATTATCATCAATATGTGAATTGGCAAAATTAACTGGATGTTTGTATTGTAAATAAAGGTTGTGGTTTTGAATAGATTGTATGAAACTCTCTTTGATGCTGCACTTATATCGCCCTCGATATTTAAACCATTAATGAAATATCGATCAAATGAGTGACATTCCTTTCATAGAAGAACATGAAAGTAAATACAAGGTTGTCCAAAATAATGGTGCATACTTCAAAAACTCGTAGAGCACACCGAAGCGATTACCTGTGGCCACAGAGTACATGTTTAAGAACAAAATGTAAAGGTATTTCTCACCACCAATCATAAAAGCGCCTTTTTTTGTACACACTATCATTCTAAGCTTAAACTTCTAAATCAATTAAAAATCGGAGCAGCAAACCAGAGAAGCAAAGAGCAACGATTGAACACGCAGCATTTCCGAATAGACCGGTTTCCCAACCCTAAAGTATTTCATCACTATTGCATCACCAGCTATAAGATTCTGGATCCTTTCCTCACTACCTAGTCGGATGCTGATCGTTCAAGAATGATACTGAATGTCAAAAAGAATGATGCCGACAGCAGAAACGAATGATAATGAAGGTCATTCGGTGGGAAAACACTGCTTATGGAAGAACAGTTTTCTATGCGCGGTAGATCTTCTGTGAGGGACATATAAGAAAAATGAGGGGCGTAGCACTGATGTGCAACAATACACGAGGGAACAAGAATTTCGTGATAAAGCATCCATATCAGTTTCAAAAAGGACAAACTTTGACTGTTTCGGATTATCTTCGTAGTGTGGACTTCGCTCATTTCTGCAACAGAGTACAGCCCAGCTGAATGTTTTGGCAACTGTTCTTCTTCTGTATGAAGTAAAGTTCAAACGCGATTGGGTACCAATGCACACATAATGCACATGTACGTGGAAGCAGACATCTGTAGTAACAGCAGCACTTCTACATAAAAATCTGGACATGAATCGTCGTCTATGTTAGTATGCTTGATTCATATCATACGTCATACAATTTCAATAGTATGAAGTATGATATTTTCGGTCATGAAATCTTACGATAATTATAATAGTTATACTACTGAAAACATCCAGAGGCATATACTATTCTATTAGGATACACCACCAGGCCATTTTTGACAAAAACGAAGAAGCTATCTTGATGTCAACGTTCAAACCATTTCAGACTTTTGAACGATGTGATTCCATGCCATGGAATCTTCCTTTATGTCGAGTCTCGGTTTCGTTTTGTAGGAAGAACTCAAAAGATTGCTCTAAATCTTGTGAGAAAATCGTCTCTAGAATTTCATTCGTTGCTGTAGCCGTTCACAGTGTACCAGATATACTCCAGTATATATCGTGTACGCACCTTATCGCCGTTGTGTGGCATTCATTATGATTAGCGGTCACTCTTTTGTGAAATTACTGAAATTTATTTGTAATTAAAGATTTTTTTTTACCCTCACACGTCTTTCAGCGCCTTGACTTTTGGCTTTCAATCATACTGGGATACTGAATGTCATTGAATGAATTGGTTGTTTCGGTGAACTATTTTGTCTTTTAAATCTAATCCGCCATCTTTTTTAAAATACGTCGCATATCTGTTGCGAATTTTAATTCTAAATTTAATTTAGAGAATTGTATTGTCATTTAATTTTGATGCAAATGTTAGGTATCTGTAAAGTATACGATCAGCAAAGAAACATTTTCAAACTTTCTTTCGTCATTTCAATTGAGTGCATTTTTTTGTCAGCAATGATAATATATAAATAAATTTTCAATATAATCCTATGGAATTAAACAAAAGGTCAAGTATTTTATCTTTTTTTAATCACTATTATGAGATATTTTCAGCTTCTTTCGGTGCCGTAATACCCATAACCCTAAAGAAAATGCGCAGCGCATAAGCCAGTCGACAGTGCTTCTTGGGAAGTTCTCCAAAATGTACCACATCATTCGTACTCCGAGATTCCGGCAAGGTTTGTATACTGCATCCGGGTATTCCAGAGCTACTGCAGATTCCAGAGCATCTGTGACGATATTTACTTTGCTGGAACTCATAATGCGAGCAGACGCAACCCATTGCTTTAAACAATTTAAAAATGTCTTGCCATAATCAGCTCTTACATGGTTCTCCACAGAGGCAACTGTTTCATCGATATGCTTTAGAGCGCTGTCGTATATAGGAGTCCTGAAAGAAATGAAGCAATAAATAAAGAAAACATAAAAATTTTTTATTAAAAGAAACCTGAAAGGTTTCAAATTTTAAATTGCGTCCAAAGGGACTTTTTTTAACATTTTGTCTGTTACCTTTATTTATTAAATATCACGTTCCTCTCACTTAAAACATAAAATTCAGTTGAAGAGCAATATCGCAAAACAGTTTTAAATTGAGCAGATATTTAGGATTTCCGATACGCAGTCTCACGCGATGGAGATAAAAAATTTTTTTCTGTACAACGTTGCCATTGATCGCTTTGAAATCCTTGAGTTTGTTAATCAATAATTCGTTAAAGATTTACAAAATATGAAATAATAAACCAAATTCCAAATTTGGGCTTCCGCATGCCCATATTCGTAGGAGGATTACGTCATTCAAAATTCGATGGCTCTATTTCTTCAAATATAATGCAGGACTCTAACATTTGGTGGCAACAGTTTGAAAAGTGAAACGGGCATTTGTAGTGAACCAAAGCGAAATCGCAAAACGAAAACAATAGTCCTTCAGAGACAAAGCCCCTTTGGACTAAAAATATAATGCATTTACAGTGTAATGGGACTAAAGTTGTTTTAAACAGTACTGCCCATAGAGCGTTAATCTGTTTTATTCTTCACCGTGATCAAGCATACATACAGTTGCTGAGGATTAATACACCTGAACTGTAGATACAAGGAAAATCACGGGGGAAAACTTAGTTGACAAGATCTGAAGTTATTAAGGATCTTAATAAATAGTTTGGGAACTTTCACTAATTATGCATTATTGTTTTAAAACGTTCTAAAATGCATTTAAACTTCCTTCGTAAAAACTGCCAAGCAATTGTGAATTTGTATCAAATCTGAATGAACTTCATAATGTAGTGAAATGCTTCAAGTTTTGGATAAGTAACTTTTATAACCAAACTGCAGTCCTGGCGTTATTTGTCTTACCAATTTGAAAATAACCACTGATAAAAATTACAGTATCCTCCGCTTATTAAGTTTTTGAGCACAAGAAAGTTTGCACCCACAATTAATACAAACAGCCCATCGTGTACAAGGGTCGGGTATCGGCGGTTGAGTTAAACTTAATTAGCTAATAAAAATCAGCCGTTTATAACCTTGAAATTTGCAGAAATTTAAACAAATAGGTAGGATGACAGAATTATATTTCCCTGATTATAAACATTTTACACGAAGCTACAAATGCGAAATTTTTATCATTACTTAGTCCTTTTACTATAGTATTTTTACCATGTAGTTAAGGGTAGCGAGGAATAGTTAGTTACGAAATGGCATCGATGAAAGAAAAAAGCTAAATGCATTTTAGAATACCTTGAAACTAAATCGCCCAAGAAAGGAGGTTTAAGTGTTCGTATGGATGTAGTCCTCCGCATTGGTAGCAAGACTTTGTCCTTAGAAGAAGAGGCAAACTATTGCTAGCGATGGAGTTTTTGATTCTGTCATGAATCGGAATGAAGAACATATCAGAGACTGAGTCTTTCTTACATTAGTTTATGTACTACAGAAGACAGAATGTGGCAAGATGGATGGAGGGATGTTGAAAAATACGTAGCGAGAACTGGAAAACCAACTTGCGGTGTGAAATGTTGGAACTACATGTCTCCTAAATCACTGCCCTCCATAATCTGGCCGCAGAAAATTTGCTATCATGAATCCGTATCGCTCATCAGTTACTCTAATTGCGTCTTCTCTCTCGTCTTGGAGGGAAAAAATTGTCCGATGTTGCCACTGTGCCACATCTATATTGATACTCTTCCTTGGCCAGCAAGGTCAACAGGCCTTTCACCAATCGAGCATGTCTAGGTACCTGATAGGCCGCCAGATTAGGGCACCACAAAATATCGCAGATCTGGAGCGATAACTGATGAATGTCTGGCAGAATGCTTCGCAGGATGACATAAGAAACCTCTACCACTCCTTGCATCGACGAATTCAAGAATGCATTGCCGCCAGGGGCGGTTCGACCAACAACTAATTTTAACACTTAATGGGTGATTGTGAGCCGTGAACAGGTACCATGACCTTGAATTTTTAATCATTTTACTATCTGTGCATGAGCTATACACATATTCAACTTCATCAAAAACAACCACTTCATTCATGGTGATTCGATTTTTTGCAAAAGAGTGTATATCAGATTCTGCATAAAAGGTTAAGAAATCTGAAATATTATCATTAATATGTTAATATATTATGTGATTATCATATCACACCGTACACCGGATATTGTGAATCTCTTACGATTGTTTTCAAACCAAAAACGACAATTCTATTTGTTAACATACCCAATGAATCAGAACTGAGTTTCATGTGAGTAGAACATTTTTTTTTTCCTCCAAAATTAATGTTATTGAAGGGTGTATTTAGCGATGATGAATAGTCAAAGTATACTAAATAAAAATAAATATTAGTGACAATAATAACATTTTAACCATGTTTCTCATTTCATTTTAAAATCATTTGATTCTTATTGGAATACCCTCACATTACATTATTGTTTATACATTATCAACATATTCTAGAGAATGCCAGCCGGTAACATAAACAAACATCTTGATGTCAGTTAAATACAGTTAAAGAATTATAAAACTCAATACAATTATTAAAACAAAATCTGATATGTACACCACATGACTTCCTTGTACGGAATTATTAAATTATAAGCATTTTTTCTTGCATTTCATTTAAACTTATTAGATTGAATTAAACCTACTTCGCCGACAGCGCATAAAACACAATAGAATAAATGCATTCTTTAAAATTCACTTTGTTTACCATAGCGACACTCTGGCGCTAGGTTTCTTAACAGTATTACATTTCGTTCATATTATAACTCAGAATGCACACAATTTATATCATTTAAATCATTTAAAGAATTATCTAATCGTTGCCACATGTTCTATTCAAATACTATGATAAAGCTTGAACTATGTATAAAAGAAATTAAGCAAACAAAACAAAAAAGAAACAGTTTTTGACAGACGATTGAGTATTTCTCATTCAATTAATTCAGTTTTCACTTCGCGACAAGGCAAAACTACATAAAAACTCAAAATATCTGTATTAAAAATTACGAAGTAAATCTTAAACGCTTATTTCCTCGAAAAAATTCCAGAAAGGATTAAGCATAATTTAAATAATAAATGAAGGAGTTATCTTTGTTGTTGCGAAGCTAAGTTTCTCTAGATTGGCAACAAATGCGCTATCCTGCTGTTTCAAATGTAAACAAGAGCAATGGCCGCCATCAAATATATTATTAGGCTTAGCGGCACTTAAACAATTTTAAAATTGTTGATAATTCTAAAAACATTGCATACAGATTTACTAAAGGCACAAAAACCTTAACCGAAAGATAAGAACAACATAATTCAATTATTTTTAAAGCAAAAAATGTACAATTTACAAACATATAAGAGTAAAGATACTGAGATCACTGAGCCGGGAAACAGAGTGGATATATATATATATAAATATTTATATACGTTTGGTGCGGCCGATTGCAACCAAAATACGAGGTGCAATCTACATGTTATAGCAGTCCAATATGCAAAATTTCAACGTTCTGAGGCTACTCGTTTTTGAGTTATGCGAGATACGTACGTACGCACGTACGTACGTACATACGTTCGTACAGATGCCACGAAAAATTCTCTTCAGAATTCATTTTAAAGCAGTTTTATAATTTTTTGGGGGGAAAAGAGTGTTTTATTCTGTCCTTACATATAGATATCACAAAAATACATCGTTAAATTGCATTTGAAAGAGGTCAAAATGGGATATTTTCGTTGAAATATGCTGCCTGAAACTTTTCGCGATTACAATACTTCCTTTTTACTTCGTACAAGGAAGTAAAAATCGATTCAACTACAGAATCACAAAATATTTAAAAACAGCATATCTTAAGAATTTCTGATAGACAGTCTCGCGCTGGATATAAAAATATTTTACTCCGTACAGTGTTTTAACCATTCCCTCTCAAATCGTTGAGTTTGTTCATCGAAAATTCATTAAAGTTTTATAGAATTTGAAATAAATATAAAATTAAAACCTTCGTAAATGTGAATATTTTTATTAGAAGTAAGATTAATATTTAATTATTTAATCGATGCGATAAAGTAGAAGAAATTTGAATGTCATGCTTCAATAGTTAGTTCGTTAATCCACAACAAATACACTGGTGTGAAAAAATTAAGGACGAGACGGTTTTTTCAATATAACTTTGTACAAAAGCTTTCCAAATCAACACATTTAATACCGTAAGATCCCCAATACGTAAGGACATGAGTAATGTAAGCAACACTTACTAAAAGAGAAATCAGAGGGATAAAAAGAAGCTTTATTGAAAAAGTAGCATGGAGCGCAATGCGACTGAAGGCCGAAACATCCCTGTGATGGGTGTCCAGCAAGAAACATCCGGTCTTTAATAGGGGATATGATCTCCCCTGACTGCTAGGCAGGTTTCACAGCGTCTGCCCATGCTGAGAATGAGGGTGTCAATGAGTTGTTGAGGCATTGCTGCCCATTCGTCTTGCAGCGCCAATCGAAGCTCCGGAATCGTTACTGGTGGTAAGGTACGAGCTGCCAAGCGTCTGCCTAGAAAATCCCATACATGCTCGATGGGATTGAGATCCGGAGATCGTGCCGGCCAATCCATACGTTCAATATCCTCACTCTCTAAGAGCTGTTCGGCAGCTACTGTGCGATGACATGGTGCATTGTCGTCCATGAAAAGGAACTGCGGACCCATAGCGCCTCTAAAAAGACGCACATATGGAAGAAGAATCTCGTTACAATAACGGGTCCCGTTGACTGAACCTGCGTCGAAGATGTGAAGGTCTGTACGACTACCAAGCATGATGCCTCCCCAAACGAGAACACCGCCACCTCCATACCTGTCCCTTTCAATGATGTTCGAGGGATGATTGCGGCTTCCCCGCTCTCTCCAGATGAGTATGCGATGAGAATCGCTACTCAGACTGAATCTGCTCTCATCTGTAAAGAGTACTCGTCCCCATTCATTGTCTCTCCAATTCCGGTGTTCCCGGCACCACAGAGAACGCCTTCTCCGATGGGCAGGCGTTAGAGGTACACACCGTACAGGGCGTCGTGCAAACAGACCAACACCGTGCAGTCTTCTGGCCACGGTAAAACGCGATATCGGTCGTCCAGTCGCCTGTGTCGTGTGTCTAGCGATTTCTCCCGCTGTCTGCCGCCTGTTTCTTCTGGCCTGTAAGGCAATATACCGGTCATCTGCGGGTGTGGTTCCTCGTGGACGACCACTACTAAACCCCCGGATAGCTGTTCCTGTAGTTTGAAATTGTCTCCAAAGTCGTGAAACGATGCTGTGAGCAATTCCGAACTCTGCAGCCACACTTGTCACACTGCGGCCTTCCTCCAACTTCCCAATGATTCGACCTCGGGTAAAAGCATCCAGATGTCGTCTAACAGATTGATTATTCGCCATTTCTCGCTGAGGCAGCAACTCGGTGTGATTTTAACTGCTATACGGCGTGCAATCTCTTTGCCAGAAATACTGATCTTACACCGACAACATGCTTTATACTACTCAGACACTCCCCCATTACGTCTACCTGCATATCTGCGCATGTGCTACCGTACATCAACTTACTTAATCTCCTGATTGGTCTTTCTGTCCGCTCTGCCTCTTCGTTCAGCTGATATGCTAATTTTTCGACTTCGTCCTTAATTTTTGCACACCAGTGTAGATTCAGTTTGAAAGACCCTACATTTTGCTGAATGGCAATACACTTGAATGAAAAGTGAAACGGCATGTTTGTAGAGATTCGATACGTAATCGCGTGGGAGAAAAAGAAGAAAAAAAAAGACAGAGCGAAAGAAAATTAGTCTTACGCGAACATTTCTGGCTCCACGGAGATCACCTTGACACCCCATACTTGCATTTCCTGTTTCAGACACTCGGTGAAAGCTACTGCTGCGAACTTACTCATGGTGTAAGAACAAAGATGGGGCATAGTAACTCGCCCTAGTCAAAAAAGAATCTTATAATTAAAGTGCTTGTAAAAACTCGCACCAGTTTTAAGGTTATATTAAGCTATATTCTTTAAAAAGAGAAAAAAAAGTTGTCATGAGAGGATGACTTAAATTTTGCCTACTGCAAATTCCTTGCCTGATAAACTGGTCACGTTGACGACCCGACCTTTCGTCTGTCTTAACAGAGGTAAAAAGGCTTTAGTAACACGGACGAGACCAATAGCATTGACTTCCATAGTGTCTTTGAATTCAATTATTCCAGTAAGTTCGACAGAAAATCCTTTCTGAACTCCAGCATTGTTCACAAGAGCCCATAGATCTGAAAAGGGAGAAAACTGTGGCATCCGAACAGAAGAAATATTACTAGAATCAGATGTGTTTCATTATTCAAATTTAAAGATAGTATCAGTCATAATACAAAATAAATACACATGACTTATACTATATAGGACAATCTTAATGCTTCTGCACAGCTGAATGAGTTAGTTTACTTATCTTAAGCCTATTCTTTAGTAGATAATTCAGGCAATTATAAATAAGCTGTTAAAACAGAGCCTTTAAAATTTCGCGCATAATTATCTTTTGTGAGAACCATACTGCAATTCAACACTTCTCTAACAACACACTTAGAACGAGGGGTGAGAATAATGTATTCCATGACAAGTAATCAACGTATTCTTGAGAGATAAAATTTGAATCGTAATTTTTAATGTTGTTTTTAAATATATTCTAGTGTTCGTCTACGTGTGGTCTCTTAATTTAGTTGCTTTTTTTTTTAATGCTTATTTAATATCATCGTAGCAACAGTCACCCCGGGAAGAAAAGGCAGGCTGAATTTTGATATTTCATTTGAAGTAAAAAACTGTAGAGGAAATAAAAAAATATTAAGTTAATTTTTTAACAGTAAGCCTACCGATACGATGAGTCTACAACGTTTCAGGACTAATCTTCTTAATAAATTGAAGAAATAGGATGCTAAACGATGATTATTATGACATCTCAATCTTCTTTATTATGCTTCTAAAAAACCTGCTGCTTAATGAGAAAACTCCTTGCACTCAAATATTTGATTTGATCTACATTCTGCTATCTTAAAATAGGCATTTCTGGGTCTTAATGTACCCCTCCTCATTTGCGATCGTAAGTATGTTTTGTCGTCATCAGTTGCACAGACGGGATTCGGAAATTTTAGAAAATTAGAGGATTCGATCGCATCTTCCAAAGTGTCGTTACCATAAGTACAGGAACAACCAGAAGGAAAATGAGCTTGAAGTGCCTATTACAGAATAATAGAGTATACTGAACATTTGCATGCATTTAAAAGATCAACAATGCTGCTATAAAGTGGGTATACCAATGTACTACCTAAAAGGTAGTGTACCTAAAGGTAGGAAGCATAGACAGTTTAATATAAGTAAAAGTCAGGGTCACAAAACTGTTGAGATAGATCTTGAAAGAGTAAATTGTTTTTGATTTGCACCTTATGGACTGACTACACAATAAAAAGAAGATCGAATTTCTGTATGCTATGATTAGATCCAAATTGGAGATACTGAGCCTGATTTTTCTCACCGAAGAACAAACTGGATGCTTTGCTTATAATCATGAGAGAAAACGGCATTCATCTGGTTGTGATGAATAAGGTTCACCACTTCGGTTTTAGAAATCTCGAGCAAAGACCATTTGGTAATTATTTTGATTGGAAAAGAATAATTTTAAAAACATTTATACCTGAGAGGTAAACGATTAACTCTATATTTTATAAAGAAGTAATATAACAGGGTCTTACTTAATCTGGAACTGGTAATGAGTCTAAAAACCTCTAATAGATATGAAGAGAACTATTGTTATGTCTGAAAGTAACTACAAAGTCCTGAAAAGGTTTAAAAAACAGTCTTATTTAAACAGAATTTAGAACATATATGCTAACAATATCAGTCACAGCTCGTGGGGATATTAAAAGCCTACACGCGTAGGAGAAACACATGTTCTCTTAAAATCCGAAAACCTCAGTTTAAATACTAGCTAACTCATTTGCAATTCGGTGAGGAAATCGAAAAGGAGATGTTATGGTAAGGAACCAAATCATAATAACTGGTTAATTTAAATAACAATCCTACATATTTCTCCACCCGAATTAAAGTAATCGCAACGGAAGTCTTTAAATACATCACTAAGATTTTTAAATTCTAAATCTAAAGTATGAGTTTTATAGTCTAAAACTTAATTTAAAATTTTGCAAACTTTCAGCTTCCATGGATAGAATTTCGTGTTATTACTACATTTATTTCTACACTCATCTACTTCCAGGCATCTGAAAGGAAATGTGTTTTAATAATTGCATCTTTAAATATTCCAACAAGCCTTTATAAATTTCTTTATTAACACTCTGAACTTTCTAAAATCATTTTCACACTCTGCTCTGCAATGTTGTATTGTATATGTAAGTGCGTGTGAAAATATACAAAGTTTTCCACAAACTACTTCCTAACCGAAATCCTACGTATTAGAAACTTTGACACACTGGACCCTAAAGAATACCTTATTTCAAGACTGTACTTAATGTGCTAAGCTTAAATTGGATTAAAACTTTTGTTGTTGGCTAGAAAGCCTTACTAACTGCTTACATTCACTAAACTAGCTGTGCGTAGATAGCATGAGTAGTTGACGTTGCAGGGTTTATATTTATTTTAACTAACATTTATTTTAAGTTTAAACTATCTTTCCTGTCAAGCCTTACTTTTCCCTGGAATTGCCAATGCCAGAGTATGTAAATTTTAGTAGAACTCGCAAAGTATTCAAACTGTCAGCGGAAGTAATTTGAGTTAAATAGAAGAGAAACGAGTTCAAAAGTGTGCTTTCTTGCTTCACGACGTGGAGGTGGCTAGGTAGAAACTGAAGAACCACGCGTTTCGGCCTGTGTGCTTGCCTCGGCAGATAGTTGAATCTTTCAACTTAATATTCAATAGTTTGCTGAATTATCACCGGTATCTTAGAACGCGGTTAGGTTAGTTACGTTTAGAGAGCCTCGTAGGTAGTAACTTGTTATTATTAATTTTTAGTTTCTTATTTTTTATTTTACCGCCGGATCAGCGTAGTTTGTGAGCGTCAAGAGCACGCATCTGTAATTTCTAAAGTTGAATAAAAAGGGATTTAAACCCTTCTCAAGACTTTGTGTACTTTCCAGTTCATAGCAGTCACCACTATTGTTGCGTGCAGGTTGGGGCCGCGCAACATTACATTGGCGCCCGAACACTTGTCGAACTGAAATGGCCGAAAACTGGATGGAAGCTTCTGGAAAACAACAAGAAATGGCAAGCCAATTGGAAGGATTCGGACACCTGGTCCAGACGATGAGAGCGTCAATCAAGCCAAACGTCAATTTCGACGGAAAAAATTCGGTGGCGATATTTCTAGAAGGCCTCGAAAATCATTTTTCAGCTCTACCCTGTGCCTGAAAGACAAAAAGTTGCCATTGCCACATCTGCACTAAGAGGACAGGCCTCGCTATGGTGGAAGAATATAGGCAAATTTTTCGAATTTCGAAGGGAATTCGGAGGCCAAACATATACATTTGAAAATTTCAAAAAATCGTTATTAAAGGCCTTCCCCATAGTGAAAGACCGAGCAAGGCTAGAAGCTGAACTATATAGTTTTTATCAACGGAATATAGAAGAGTTGACGGACTTTATTCTGCGAAAAATTAAGCTGACGGATATGCTGTATGGGAAGAAACCCGACGCGGAGATTATTGAAATAATCTTACCAAGATTGCTACCTGCTGTTAGAGATTACTTCGAAATTCGAAACCCAAGCACCTTGCAGGAACTCTTCGAGTTGGCGGTCAAGTTCCAAAATCGCAGAATAGCGGAAAAAGCTAGAGGGTCATCGTATTCTCAACGTCTCCGAAGGCAATCCTCAAATGAACAGACCAGAAACACAAATCGCTCTCATGGGGGAAAGAGCTATCAAGCTAACTCATTGAAGCTCGAAGGTCAAGGCCCAAAAAGGAAATTTGAAAACAACCGTCCGCGTACCCAGAAGGCAGAAGTTGAAAGGAAAGCTTTAAACGAGTAAAGGGGCCTGTAAAAGCGAGGGTCCAGAAACCGGAAGTTTCGAAAAAACCCTCAAGAAGATACTTAAATACGGTCGTCGTAAAAAACTCACAATTGCCGATTATACAAGTCCTGGTTGGCGATGTACCAGTAGAAGCCCTCATCGATACAGGGGCAGAAGGTAATTTTATGAGTGATATATTTTTTAAGAAGAATTTTAATAGGTTACGATTATTTAAAAATAAAAACACAGAAATCATAGCACCGCAAGGACAAACTTGTCAATGTATTGGAAAATTATCTTTAAAAATACAGGTTCAAAACGAAAGCCTTAAAGTATTAAATTTTGTAGTAAAAAACTTGCAAAGTCCACTTACTTTAGGTATGGAGTTTTTAAAAGCCGCGAAGGCCAAACTGAATTTTCAGGAAAGTTCTATTGTGTTGCAGATCGATCGGAGGGTGGTGGAACCAGTGGAACAACCGCAAGTCGACCTTAGCCATTTGAATGACCATGAAAGCCAAGCTATCTAGCAAGTGGTGAGTACTTTTTCGAACTTGTTTTCAGAACGGCCTGGTAGTTGTCAAATTGTTACGCATGATATACAGTTAACTGCCAACAAACCCTGTAGGACTAAACCTTACCGGTATGATAAACAGAAAGAGCAAATTATCGAAGAACACTTACAGGAAATGTTGAAGAACCAGATAATAACGCCCATAAATAGTGAGTACGTGAGTCCAGTCGTACTATGTAGGAAAAAGAATGAGTTCCCTCCCTCGGACAAAAGGGCTTGGAGGTTTGCTATCCATTACAGAAAGCTTAATAGTGTCACTATAAGGTATATCTCCCACTTTCCTAACGTCCTTCGTGATGTAGTGGTTGTGCACGCTGGGCCGGTATTCCAGAGGTCCGTGGTTCGATTCCCGGCAAAGGCGTTTGCTATTTTTCATCTTGTCTGCTTTCAAAAAAATACCTAATGTCTCTACATTACTAAATTCCCAGTTTACCCTTTGCCGGTTATAGAGGAAATTATTAGAAAGATTAAGTCTACGAGATACATGACTACGTTGGACTTAACGTCTGGCTACTATCAAATAGCTATGAGACCCGAAGACATACATAAAACCGCGTTTATCACAAAATCGGGCACTTATGCATTTTTACGCATGCCCTTTGCGTTGTGTGGGGCCCCGTCAACATTACAGAGAGCTATGGACATTATTCTAAAGCCTGTCCTAGGAAAATCGACTTTAATCTATCTAG